ATGTGCAGACTCCACACAGACAGTCACCCAAGGCTGGAATCTAACCCTGTCCCTGACGCTGTAAGGCAGCAATGCTAACCACTGAGCTATTGTGCCACCCCATTTCAATGGTGGGAGGCAGCCAATTTTCACTGAGGGCTGTCTAGCAGGATAACCTTAAGCAGCTCAGGGTTTGAGGCTTTGTGTTTGATCTACACAACGTTAGCATGGCCTGGTTGGCTGAAATACAGCAGCAAGCACACTGTTGGAGAGCCAGTGACAGGAGCATGATAGTTGTAATCCTGAGAGAGGACAGCAGGTTAGTGCCTCTCTTGTGTAGCATCACGTAAACAATCTTCATAATCTCATAGAGCACAGATTGCTGGATTGCTGTAAAATCCTGCATACCCTGTTGAGTAGCATAATCTACAGCCATGATAGCAGCTGTCTGAGCTTGGGCTCCAGATCTAATTCTTACAACGATCAAAGTTTTAAGATTGTAATGTTTTGGAGCTGTTGCTTTAAATTTAGAATAAGTGAAGGAGTTTATATGACCTATTCTGTGGTCTGCCTGATAGTAAGATTGAGTGGTTTGATTCTTCGAGATCCAAAGGAAGGTTTGGATCGTATTACTGAGAAAAGGATAAAATTAATTATACTTTGAAAATAATGGCAGCAGTCTCTTGAGTTTATAATAATTAGATGCTGATTGTCCAAACTTCCAAAAAAGGTGGCAAGGTACCAGTGTGTTAACTGTTTGTATTGAAAACTGTCAAGTTATATCTTGAATGAAAAGGAGTTAAGATCAATGATAAATAATAAACATTTCTACTTAGATACAAAATAAATCACAGAAGTGTTATGGCACAGTGGGAGGCCATTTTGCCCATTGTGCCTGCACTGGTGCCTTTACCTGAGCATTATTACCTAGGGCCAGTCTTCTGCTTTCTCCTCACATCCTTGCAAACTGTTTTTATCTAAGTAATCATCCAATGCCCAATAAATATGTTTCACGCTGTGGGGAAGAGGGCAGTGAAAGCCATTTTAGAGATCACTTACAGGCTTTCCAACAAATCATTAAATATCACAGACAAAGAGAGGTCCTATGCAGTCAGCAGGGAGAAGGAGACATTTCATTGACTGTGCAGTTTTCTATAGCTGAATGTCAGAAGGAAACAGTGTCTTGTTGAAAAGTTGAGAGATCTGTCCATAAACAGGCTTTGCTACTCGTGGTAGATTTAAGTCACTTTCTGAAAATTGTGCAAAGCGCCGATGGATGATTATTCGGCAAAATAGTGATACGGTTATCCCTGGGAAACTGGAAGAAACCGTGAACTGTTTGCTAAAAGGATTGTATTTTTGTGGGGAGTGTGAGGGATGATAAATATAAAAGGTACACAGAAATGGATAGTAGTATTTTATTAATAGTGTATTTAGTAATTTTTAACAGTAAAACAATTAAAATGTAATGCGTTTTTGTAACAGTCTTTCAGCTATTTAGCAGATGTTTATATATTTTAAAAAAGTATAATAGTGTCCATAGGAATTGTAATGTATTGATATCATGATGACATCTGTCTTCTGCATCCATACATCAGGATGTACTTTTGATGCAGTGGAAACTGAGACAACCAACAGACAGGCCATCATGGGTCGACTTGGCATTGCTTCTATGGATGTTCCCCACATCTGACTTCTACAATGAAAGGATGAGTTCCAAACTCAGCATGATTCTTGCTGTCCCAGAGGTGTGATGGTGAGGAAAGCAGGAGGTACACACTGTCTACATCTACAGTTTCCACTTGATAGTATCTTTCAGGATGACTGTGAAGAACAGGTGGAGAAGCTGCAAAATGTAGAAACTACCATCATATACAGTGATCTTGGCAGTCCTGGGTGTTCATGGTTATCCTGTGGACTGTCTGCTTAAGGACACTGAGGGATTGGATCCATGATGGTCCTTTTGTCCTTTCCATCTTCTTAGTGTGCCATCTTCTCCTGCAAGAAGAAAGCATGATGTCATTGACGATGTGCCATTGTGGTTGGATAATGTGACTTCCATTGCTGAATAGTTGTGGGTGTGTGGCGACCTGGAGAGGTATATATGCTGCTGCCATAATTGGAAGGTGTGCATGGTTGAGGTGCAGTGTAAGCATTTTAACTGGAGAGCCAGCAGAACGCAATGTCACTCCTTTTCAGGAAGGCCCATTGAATTAAGTGCAGATCAAGCACTTAATTGGGCAGCAGCAGGCTTCCTTGGAATCAAGGACCCCATGGGCAGAGGTCTTCCCTACCAAGAACTACAAGCCAATTCGAGTTACCTTAAGAGGTTCTTTCTCCTTCCCAATTTCAAGTCTATACAACAGGCATTGTACCTCTGCACAGGGGATTTCCCCAGTCTGCCGACAAGTAATATTGACTCTGCTCGCTCTTTGGACCTCCTGCATGGCAGGTTTACTGTCCAGTAGTGGGTGAATACTGGTGCAGCCCCACCTGACATCCTCCCTCCTGATAAAATGCTTCCACACCAGCAAACTCTCCATGGCCAAGGGTATTAAATTTTACTCATGATGTGCAGATGTGTACACTCACCTTGATCACTCAAGTGATGGCATTATCCAGCAGCCTTCAGTACATTGCTACATCTTCCCTTTCAGTAGCAACTTTGAAAAGATGAGCCACCTCGGAGAACATGGGTTTCTTATACAGTTTATCAGTCCACGGGCATGTTTAGAGGACACCGCACAGAAATAGAGTCTGGTGCTGCTCAGGAGTTGCTTGTGGCCATACCGTTGTACGGGGCATATGGACGGTAGATTAACTTTGTGCATTATCCATCAAAAGGTCTAGTCCGACATGAGCGTGTGTCCCAAACCCTGAAATTGGGGGAAGGGAATGAAATTTGTGCCTTACATTCCTCTGTCTTTATATTCTATGTTTTGGTTTATTTTTCTGTGTTTTAAGATGGCATTGGAGAGTGGTGATGGTATACAACACTTTTCACTGTATTTTGTAACAAAATACATTTGACAGTAGATAAATCAAATCAGAAAGGAGGATTATTCAGTGATAAAAGGGAACAAATTGCGATGGGACCTCCAGCAGCAGGTGGCACTGATGATGGAAAGCAATGAACAAGAGAGCTGATTCCAATTTCAATTTGATTTAGCCCCCTCCCTCTTCCTCACCTTTGGTGGTGACAGGCTTTTCATGTAAATTAATCAAATGGAAAACACTCATCATTTACTGATGGTGTTTAAGAGATGAAAAATACAATGGATGATTTGGTGATAGGAAGAAAACATTCAGTTGTGTGTAGGAACACTCATAGATACATAAAAATAAGGGAGCTGGGCAATTTGCTGGGACCTCTACCAGGAGGTGGTGATGGAGGGTGGCTTGAACAGTTGAATGGACTCATTGAGGAAAACAGAGTATCTTTGGTGGAAAGAAGGCTAATGGGAAAGTGGAATCATACAGCCAAAACGATTTCTTTTAGCTCAATGTAACTCCTAGGTTTTGTTCCATGTATATGCTGCATTGTAAATTATTTATTCTTCGTTTTTTCTTCCTGTTTGTAATGACCTGATGCCAGTGGAATAAAGAATACATGCGTCAAGATCTTTGGGCCTTCCGTGTACTTAAATCTATTGTTACCAAATAATTTAATAAGGGAGATGGGTTTGATTTAAAAGTGAAATAGGAATCAATTGTTTCTTTGATATAAAATTGGAAATGACTAGCTCTCTATCTTTTTAAGCTTTTTTATCCCTCCCTAATACCTAGATTTACACATTTTATCTTTTTGTGAACCTGTTCTAGCAAACACCTTTGCAACTTGAGACAGTAGGCAACACTAAATAATGTTTACTTTAACTTTTCGGTCAGGGGCTTAAAGTACCTATTTAAGCTGAACCTCTCTAGTTCTGCTATGAAGTCAGAAGTGTTCATTATGATATTGTGAAATAGGAGCTTGAATTTCCTTTGGTAAAAAACTGTTTGTGTGAAACAATAAACAGAGCTAATAATTGGACAAGTGTGCTTCTGTTTAAAAAGAAAGGACAGAATCCATAGTATTTTACGTGCTTCCTACTTTCTACCTCGTGTGATACCGGAGAACCTATGCTTTGGATGAGGCTTTTATGTTCTTTGAATTTTGAAAGAGAAGCAATGATTGCATTAGCTGCTGTCTGAAAATACAGCAGCAGAAACACATGTTAACTGTACACTGTGGAAAATAAATGCATTGTCCTGTTATATATTTCCATGATATCAATGATTTCATATCAACTTACTTGGAAATTACTTTGGCATCTGCAACATTTTAAATGAAAAACTTAATTTATCTTGTGTATTTTTTTTGTTTTAGTTCCTGGATGAATACAAATTGCTCTTGTGTTCACAGTGTCACTTTATCAGCTTCCAGATCAAAAATGCCCTCACTGAAATTGTTATGTGAGAATGATATGTTTGAAAAGTTTTGTTTTAAACGAAAACATTTTGTTGTAGAAACAAAGAGCCATCTTTTAGCTGTTGTAAGAGAATGAAAATGTTAGAAGTACCAGTTGAGATGATTTTCTGACAGAATACAACTATATTTGTAGCTAATTTGGTTTTCCATCAGAAGGTCCTTGCACTGCGCAGAGAGACAATGCAGTACATGTAAATCTGATTATTGAATGACGACTTTGGCAAGTGATTTAATGTATCGGTTGTCTTGTTGCTTCTTCTCATAATTAACAGCTAAATCTAATGCGATCTGGGCATAAAAAGAGTGAAGGGAATTTAAAAGAAAATTCCCCACCCTGTTTAAATGTATCTAATAAATAACAGCAGGGGAAAAGGGAATGGCAGAATAATGATTGGTGTGGTTACTTGTGATGTAATTTCAGGGTCATGTGATATTAGGTGAGCTGTGACTGGTGGAATGGAAACACATGTGTAATATAGAGGTACTAAAAACAGATTGCCTGCAAGACATCTTTAAGCTAGCAGTTGTGAGGACTAACGAGCTCAGTGCATCTTTGGTGTCTGAGGATTCAGATCAGAGTCTAGTAGAATAAACAGCTAGATAAGTGAGTCTCTAATTGGATATGATGCTGAATCAAATCTGTCTTTACTTTCCTGATGTGTTTGTTTGTGACTGCATGCATTTAACATTTTACCAGATAACCTGGTGGAGAGTACTTTTTTTTTCTGTTTTCTAGTGTTGATAATTGACTTTCATTGTGTTGTAAATAATGAGTATTTAATTGTTCACCATTTTTAAAACAAAATTTAATGAATATGAATTTAGTGTCTTTTTTTTTCCCCACTGTATTTTACTGTCTTTGTTTTTTTGCTATTGTGGAATGATGGCCAAGATGATTGTACATCCTCCTTTTGTTTACTGTTTTTGGGTGTGAACAATTCAGTATTATGGATTCTGTTGCTGTTGGGCAAATAATGAAGTGCAATTTTATGTTGTAGTGTAACTGATTATTGCTAAGGTATTAATATACTGTGCTCTTATTTTGCTGCCTGTAAAACCCCTTGTCACTACACCACTTATCTGGAAACTGCTAGAGGCAAAATGAATTGCTTTAACTGACTCGCACTGGAGGACTGTGCAGTACAGGAAATTGCCCCACCCTTGTCTTTGTGTTCCCATCTTCAAGCAATATCACAAATTTACCTTTTTTGCCTGTTTCTCTTCAAAAGTACAGTTTTTACCAATGATGAATTCATAAAACATTTTTATATGTAAATAAATTAAGTTGCAGTATTCTCAAATAGACAAAATTTAGTTTTGTTATGCCTTGAGCAACTATGAATTGTTGTATTATATCAAATTTTGCTTTGCTTTTAATGAATAGGAACAATGATGTCAAAAGTAAGACCAAGATTTGTGATTTATGTGTGTTTCTGCAAAATTTGTAGTTTAACTTCTTATGTTAATCTCATTTTTCCACATTTGTTTTGTGTGTCATGTTGCAGAAAAGTTTTGGAGATATTTAACACTGTGACTGACACAGTCAAAACTACAAAAGATTACTAAAAATAAATGCCAGTGTGGTGTGGCCTCTGATTAGCAATTTTGCCAATGAAGGGCATTTATTGTTAATGGTATGATTTGGCTTATTACAGTCATGGACACAAGTAATCTGCTTACTCTGGTGTATTGTGGGTAATAATGCAGATTGTACACAGTGTTTTAGTGGATCAGTGACCATGATGTTTTGAACTGGAAATTTCCCCAATGAGTCAGGTACAAGTGTATTGGCTCCTAAGTACAACTTGTTCTGATACATGAGAACTCTCTCTTTTACAAGAGAGAAGAAGGGAAACAAAAGAGTGTCAATTTTTCCACTTGGTGTATTAATTATATTTATTTTTATTATTACTATGCTAACAAGAGAGTGGTAGCATTTGCAAGGACAGTGCTAAAAGTAAAAATAAAAAGAATCGATTAATGTTAAGGCTACAGCAAGTTGAAGTTAATCTCCATTTGCTTTGCATTGGAGGCAAGCATTAAATTATTGAAATTTTGTTTTTAATTTGGAAAACTGGTATCTGTTTTTTTTATGTTCTAAATGTGCAACTTGTGTGAATATGAAAATAACTTTTTGATATTCAAGAATTACTGAAGTTCAGCATTTTTTTTTGTTTTTTGTAACTAGTGCAACCCCTGTGCAAAAAGTACCATGCCTTTTTATTTTATGGCATACAATGCAAATCTCTTAAATTTTAAATATTTTCATGTCTGGTTGGAGAACACTTTTTTTTTATGCATGGTAGTGATGATGATGATTTGACGACTGTCGTTGAGCTTTGCAGAAGAGATATGTACTACATGGCAAAGAGAAACCAAATGCCAGCAAGTGTCATAGGATTGAAAGGTTAATTCTAACACTCTCTGCTTTGTCCATAAAAGATCCAATGTTACTAGTAGTGTTGAGAATGCAGAATGATGAATTTGTGGTGTAATGTGGTGATTTCTACAGTGATCACTGACTGTTACTTACTCAGTCTATTCTTTTGGGTATTACGTATAGTAAAAAAGCAGACCAGACCTAGGGGAAGGGGAGTGAAGCTTTTCTTGTTCATTGCTTATCTGCATTAGTTTAATAATGTGAGGAATCCTGCACTGATTTCAGTTCAGTTGTCAGCCTGGGGCTATGAAAGAGTGTCACTGATAAAAAATTGTTCAAATCATCAGTCACTTCAGTGTTTGTTTTAATGCAGCATGAAGCTATAATGATTTATGTCTGGAGCAAAATAAAAATGTATGTGATGTATTCTAAGTCTGCGTGGATAACCCCACCCTAGCATATGCAATGCAAGTCAGCATGAATAATACTGGCTGAGACTTTTTTGTTTTGTTCATATCTAAATGTGCCTCCTGAAGGGGAGTTAAATTTAATTGTTTAAATCTGCTGAAATCATTTTGTGTTCTGTGAAATTCTGCAACAGTGAGTTCAATTTATTGAGTCGCATGTTAATGGGATAACACTTGGCTGGTCTTTTTGAAAATGACACATTTTGATGTGTACCACTCTATAATGCAGCTTCTTCTGATTTAAACGGCTAGTCAAGCTGTTCCATTCCTTATGATTATAAATGCTCACCTTGACGTTCTTCTTATACAAGAAAAAGACGAGGGAGGAAATAGTTGTGACAAACTATATTTGATAAACTTGAATCAATATGTGAAAACCTCCTCTAATTGACCTGGTTTAGATCTTCAATCAAATTAGTGACAAGGTTGAAATGTTTAATTGGATATTTGGAATTAAAATGGAGGATGGCCTGTTGGCAGACAATGTTGGGACAAAGATCAGGATTCTGCTCACTGTCAACTGTAACCCTTTCAAGCATGTCCATTTTAATTGAACTGTAATATCCTAAATAACCCATATTACATTCAAGGTTTTTGTTAAATGAAGTCCTCATCTATAAATCCCACCAAGATCTTATCGCCCTCTAACTTTGCAATGTCTAGTACCAGGATGGTCCTGCCTGAAACGCTGTTCCTCTGACTAAGGCCTCTGTGGATCCATTCTCCCTTGTTATCCCCTTCAGTTAGCTCATTTTCTACTGTTTGGAACTTCCCTACTGGGGTTTATTGCTACAGCACCTCCCTCTCCATTTATTAAAATCACCTCCTCAGTTGTTAACTGCAATGTAAAGGAACTCAAAAGGTCGATGTCTGGTGACAGAAAGTGAAAGTGTGGAATGCTTGAATATGCTAGGATTCATGAGCTTCAAAAAGAATATCTGTCCTGTACAATGTGGCATATGTAATGGGGGAGGGGAGAAAAGTAAATGCAGAATAATACCTTCAGACACGTCAAAGCAGCAGGCAGGAGAGCACGTTTCAGGATTGTGAAGGGCAAAATTTAAAGCAGATATTATTTTACAGAGGATGATCAATAGATAGATAGATTTGTAGGAAAGGTGGATGAAGCCAGGACACTAGATTCAATTTAAGTAACAGCATGATACTATAATAGGAAGAAATTCAGAATTATTTTGGAAAGATTAAATCAAATTATATGGCCACCTTGAGATCTCATGAAAATAATAGTACCAGGTTTTCATAGTTTGAAAGACTTTTTGCAAACCTTTTATAATGATGGGCAGGAGCACTTTTTTTGACCGATCCTATTTTTGGGGAAAGTGGGTGGGACATGATTCGCACAGGAGGGAAATGTAAACTACCAGGCAATTTTCATACGGAGTTGAAGCAGATCCTGTTTTTGGCTTTAAGAGTGTAAACTCGTACATTGGGAGAAATGAATTTATGGAGTAGATAATAAATACTCTTGAAGAACAGCTAATGTCTATATTACTTCATGATCTGAATGTGCCTTTTTTATGTCACACTTTATAACTTTTGACAGCACCAGCCTGTTTCTATTTAATGACTTATACAAAACCCTCCGGACAGTTTAGATTGAATAACAGGCATATGTTAGAAAGAAAATTAGCACCTAACTTTACTGAAGTTATAAGGCTTGTTTGACATTTTCCAAAGGGCAATCAATATGACATTAAGAATGTTTTAATTGATTTTTCAAAGGCTACAATTATCTCAGCAAGGGTTCAAGTTCGGAGTTTGACAGTTAAAGAAGCTATTAAAGTATTAGGTGTCTTTGAAGGGCTGAGATAGACTTTTGTTTTTTTTATATAGGAGAGTAATCACTTGTGTTTTGAAAGCATTGAATATAGTGTATGAATAGGAGATTGAGGGGTGGAGAGATCGTGTATGAATGAGAGCTGTATTGGTTTGTTCAAGAGTTTTTTTTTCAATTCCACATGGCTCCTAATGGGTACTATGGGAGTAGCAATGGAGGTGGGGGCATGAGTTAGCATTACATTGACTTGGAGAAAATAAGGTTACATGAGGGGTGAAGGAAAAAAGATGTAACCGCTTCAAAGGCAGACCTTCTAAACTATCTGTGCTGGCACCTGTCCACCTCCCATGGGTGCCTATTCCCTACGTCTGATTGCTTGCTGGCCTGACTCTATCCTACACTTCCCAACCCCTGCCTGATCTTGTGGAGTGAAAGCTGCCCATTTGAGGGTAGTTTTTAATAAGGTGGCTCTGGCAAATTGAGGTTCCTCCGCTAGATCCACTAAAATCTAGCCCAAACCTGTCTCGTGTTGTTGTTGTGTGTGTGTGTGTGTGTGTGTGTGTGTGTTTTTTTTTTTTTTTTTTTTGGACTAGTTTTACTGTTGGGAGGGATCCTCTATCTATATTACCAGATGTGCTGCTCTAAGTATGTGCATGGTGGATGCTCAAGATTATTTTACAAGTGCACTATTTTAGAAAACTAGACTCTTTCCAACTATATTCCCTAACCATGATTTTGTTTCATGACTGCAACCTATTCAGACGAACTTTCATTTAGTCCGGATGACCACTTACAATATTTTTTGACCTTTTGAATGTTTATTTACTTTTTATTCATTCGTGGGATCTGGGCATCGTTGTGTACTGTCACTTCCTGCCTGGTCTTGAGCTGGTGGTGGTGAGGTGCCTTCTTGAACTGCTGCAGATAGACCCACAATACCATGAGGGAGGGAACTCCAG